TGCTGTCCTCTGAAGAAGCCGGCCACAGAGACTGGCGAAACGTCAGGAAGAACAACCTTCAGAACATGGCCAAAGAGCCCGAAAAACCCAGAACAACCATTTGAAGATTTAGATTGTGATCCACAAAAGTTGGTGCTGAAATAAATTAATGAAAGGTGCCACAATACTGTTTGGCTGAAACAGATTAAAACAGCAACTTCTCTGACCACTGGAAAATATAATGTAGTGTGTTGCTTGCTTCTATAGATGATAGTGTATGTGTATGGTTGAGACACACATGTATGTGTCAAGTTCAGATAGAGTTCAGCCTTCCTACACTTGTTTGTGAAGAGGTAGGAAGGAATGTAAATAACTGCTACTGCATAATATCCTTGAGCACTAATACATCACAATGAAATTTTATAGATGTATATTTGAAACATAATTTACTGTATGAAATTTAAACCTCAGTTTGATTTCTGCATCTATTTTATGGAAAAGGGTCATGGGGGAGAAAGGACACAAACAAAACACTGTGCCATGTATGTTGACCAAAAGAAGTTCACTTTTAGTATTGAGTGGCTTATTTGCAACATTCCCCATGGTTTTTATCGTTTAATGTTTTTGCTTCTTTGTTTATAAATTAGCTAGCTGAAATTATAGGATTAAATCTAGCAGATTCCAGAATGTTCATGAGCAGTGTAGCTTTAAGAGTTACAAAGTTTTCTTCCGAGTGCTTGATATTATCAATGTCATTTCCTTTCCAATTTTTTACTTGTTTTTTTTTTATTTAGGGTAAATTCCAAACACACTAGCCAAATGTTTGTGTTTTAAAGAATTTAAAGGAAATGCAAGGGTCTCTTAAAGTAGATACAGTGGTGCCTCACATAACGATGTTAATTGGTTCCAAACAAAACATCGTTATGTGAAAACATCGTTATGTGAAGCACCATTTCCCATAGGAATGCATTGGAAACCGGTTAATCCGTTCCAATAGGAATGGATTATCCGGTTTTTTCCCTCCCCCCGTGGCTTGGATCTGACCCACGGCGGCTACCTCAGCCATGGCTGGACTCCCTACAAAATTCAAATTTAGTAAGGAAAGCAGTGTACCCAGTGTGGTATAGTGCAGAGGTCCAGAACCCCCGGTCCGCGGCCCGCTGCCAATCTGTGGCCTTGGCAGGAGGGGGTGGCAGGAGACGTAGATATAGCGAATCTTGCGCCGACGCCGATGGTATTCGGGCGACGTCGACGCCGAAGATGTGGAGGAACGGTGTCGACGGCGATGTCTACGTCTCCTGCGCCGGTCCACTGAAGAAGAGTCATCCGACGTCGATGCATATCGATGTCGGGAACGTCCGTGTCTCCCCGCGCCATCCCTGTGAGGGGATCGATGGCGATCTCGGGAGCAGTGTCTCGTCTTTCTCAACCGTTTCCTTGGTGGTGAATGGTGGTGAGAAGACACAGGAGACACAGAATGAGCCGGAGAGCCCTGCCCGCTGGATGCGGGACTGACAGGGGTCAAACCCAAGCTTGCAGTGGTCTGTACAAGCTGGCTTGGCGTTGGTGAAGTAATGCCAAGGGGTAAGAGCGGCTCAACTTGTCGTGGGGGAAGCGGCGCAAACGCTTCAGAAACAGAGTCCTTGTCCCTGGAAGAGTCCTCCAAGATAGGGGACGGGAGGTTGGTGGTTACAGCGGACATTTGCGAAGTGGGGTCCTTAGGTTTAGTCGACCCCTTTGATTTTTCTTTCTTCGCAGGTTTTGCAGCTGAGGCTGTCTTGGGGGCGGACTTCTTCTTAGAAGCGGACGACTTCTTTGTCATTTTTTCAGCAGGTACGTCTGCCGCTTTGGAAGTCGAAGGTTGGGGTGCCGAACCCTCTGCATGGGAGGTAGAGGAAGAAGCAGGGAGCTCCATAGAGGAAGGCGTAGAGGCAGAAAGAGCGGGGTTCCACAGGTGTAATTTTAAGCGCTGCTGCCTCGCCTTCAAGGCGGCCTTAGTAAAAGCCTGACAATGTTCGCAGTTTTGGGGAGAATGGGATTCCCCTAAACAAAAAAGGCACGTATCGTGTCCGTCCTGGAAAGGGATCTTAGCGGAGCAACGGACACACCGACCAAAAGGACCAGAGGGTGGAGGCGGCATAGACACCCTAGGAAAAAACGGCCGGTAAAAAGGGCGGGAAAGGGGTAACGACTCACAAGAGAGTCGAGGAAAACCGTAGGCACCAGAACCAATTCGTAAGGCTTAAAGAATGTCCGTAACAGTCCAATGTAAAAAATCCGAGCAGACAATCCGCGAAAATACGATAGAAAAGCGAAAACAGTAAGAGCTCAAGCCGAAAGAACCACTTCACACGGCGGAGAAATGGAACTGAGGTTGGAGCGGGCGGAGCATGCGCAGTATAGGCACTCCTAATTATGTTTCTTTTACAGAGCTCGAGAACGTTCCGAGGGACCCGCGCAGGCGCAGACTTAACCCTTCATTGTGTGAATTCACAGAATGACCACTTGAAGAACCATGGTTACAGGTAAGTAACCTCTCTTTTTCTTCTGAGTGCTTGATATTATCAATGTCATTTCCTTTCCAATTTTTTACTTGTTTTTTTTTATTTAGGGTAAATTCCAAACACACTAGCCAAATGTTTGTTTTTTAAAGAATTTAAAGGAAATGCAAGGGTCTCTTAAAGTAGATACTAGTATATCTGGTATGTCTTGACATGGGGGCTTTGAAATAATTCATTAAATATAACACTACTGTTAAAATCATTATTTTTGTATAAAACAAGAAGACAAATTGATATAGCAGGTATTTTTAAAATACAGCTTTAAGAATAAATAAACTCATTTCCAAAATGTCATTCAGTTCACTACCAAAATAATGATTCTGCAGTTCATGGCCAGAGTCTTATTATATATTTCTGCTGGTATGATATAAATAGTTTAAATTCCAGCAGCAAATTCCTGCAAGGAATCAGAATAGCATTTACCTGTTGCACACCTAATCACACAATTGGTGCAAAATGGGAAATGCCTCCATCAACTCCCTAACTTGCAGCAATTCACTGCTGAAAGTTACATGCTGGCATTATGCCAGTGGATGTACCTGACAGGATTCCAGATGGTCTATTAAGAAATCTAATGTATTATTTCCGTGTCCTAATATGAGCAGTCAGACTTTTTTTAAGCAGAACTGCATTCATGGAAGGGAAAGGCTTTAACAATATGCAGGGAAAGCAGTTTCAGAAATAAATAGGGAAGGTACCTGCAGCTGTTTCAAAAATATGACAGTAGCTGTGGGGCTTCTCGGAAGCATTTAGACAGGGGAAAAAGGGATAAACTGCTTGAACACTCATGCAAAACCTTTTTCTTCCCCTCATCCTGTAGAATCTCATCACTTGTGCATAAGATTTTGCCGCTTGTTTGACAGAGGAGGACCCCTAGCCTTTGGAATATTTTTCATCTTTTCTTTTTAAGGCATTTCCCCCCTAAACTACCAATTTGCAATCCAAACACTATACATTTTGCTCCAAACATTCTACCCAGCCCAAATATTCATGATTAATAACTGGCATTTCCTCTTTTATTATTGTATCTTAAGTAAAACATTAAGAAGTTCTCTCTGCTAGATCCAAAGACAGAACATCAGCCACTGTTGCTGATAATTAGTAATCAGAAAGGAGTAGAAGAATATTGTTGCAAAGCAGAGTTAAAATGAATCTCTGTAGAAACCAAGAAGGGAGATGTTCATCTCTTTGTAGCTACAATGGATGAATAAATTACATTCATTTGTGTTCCTCAGAAAGAAGGAATTGTGTTTCTGATACTTAGCCCAAGCTCTTCAGCCCCTGGATTAAAACAAACAACAGAAATCTTGAACCTGTACCATTGCTTCAGAATATTTTAGGAAAAGACCAAAATAGAGAAAGAAAGCCTGAAAGGCTTATTCTCTTGATCCTACCAGCCACTGCACTACCAAACTACATTTAAAAACTTGATTCCTCAAAAATTCTTCTGTTTTTTATACCTGTACTAATACCTTTGCTAACTATTTTGGTTTTAGACACCCAGAGTTTCCTTTGTGCTTTCCAAGCTACCTCTACTCTTGCACTGTACATAAATGAACGTACTACTTGGCTTACTTTTCAAAGTAGCATCTTCAACCAGAACTGACTGGTCAGTTGTTATATGATTGAGAAGCAGCATCTTGTAGGAGGGAAGGGGGAAGACTGAGGTTCCCTTCCCCTATTAATACTACATATAGTTGCTTTCTTGGTGGGTTTTTCTTAGGAGAGGGGAAGTTCCTTTGCTTTCTTGTTTTTTGTGGGGGGTTTTTACGTTCCTTGTTTGTTATATACAGCCGCCCTTAATATTGAATACATGATCTTAGACTTAATATATTTGATTGTGGCAATGTAGCATAATCAGCTGTGTCAGCTCAGCATTTGTTTGTGGCAACATGCTGTAAATGTAAAACAATTCGCATTTTCCCCTGTTAGTGTATAGGAATACAGAATAGGTAATTTATAGTTTGATTATAATACAGGTCAAAATGGATTGTTTAAAATCAAGGCTGTTTAAATTGTTGATTTAAATGATTTTTTCCCATTATACTACTTCATATTGTTTAACAGTCATGCAAATCTAATCACTGAAATATATTAATTTGCAGCTAAGTAGAACAGTTTACCACATCTAAGAGGGTTTACTCTAATTTTTGCATCATCTGGGCTTATACCTTTTTCAATCATTGTTGTTATGTAATGTTCACATTTTAGTGACTGCTGTTTTTATACAAATTGCCTAGAATAGTGCTGTGCTCCAGTGGGGTGGGTATACAACTACCAGAAATAAAATAATAAAAAAATTTAGTTTGTGTAATTTCTTAGATAGTTTGCAATTAATATAGGAAAGAATTGCATATATCCGTTAATTGTATCAAACTGCAGAGGCTGCATCAGTACATCAGGAAGGAGAAAAGTAAATCACCCACACATCCTTAATATGAGTTAGTTTATTATAACAAAAACTTAAAATGTTGTATGAGTTTGTTACATTTATTACTGCAGCATTGCAACTGCCAGAAATTTTTTTTTGATTTATTAATATATATTTTAAAAAATAAAAAATCTGTTTACATTTTTAAATTTGATTTTAAAATGTTTAAATTCCTTTTTAAAATATGTTGCTTTTTATCTACCCTCTTGATACCCAGTGCAATGCAGTGGATAGAGTGGGAGACTAGGACTTACGAGGACTAGGTTTGAAAACTCTCTCAACCATGGACACTCACTGGGGGACTGTAACTGTGGTCCATTGGTCCAGATAGGCGGGGTATAAATCAAATAAATAAATAAAATAACTGGTCAAACCACTCCTTAAATATCTCACCTTAAATTTGCTATTATGGTCTCTGTATATAAGTTCCAACTTGACCACACGTGACAGCAATAACTAAAATGTCAATTAACCTGGCATGTTGTCAGCGCTTAATTAGCAAAATAAAAAAGGTTGGGGCTGTGACATTCTTTTCATATAGGGTGGTACCCTCCTGACTTGATAGAACAGATTTTGGTTTCTTGAAGGAATGTGTCCTGCATTGTATCTGCTTCCATGTGAATTTTGTATGCTGTAGGAAAAAAACCTATGGGATTAGTATCCACAGATTTATTTATCTGCTGCCTGAAAATATTAAATAAACCCCCCAGTGTTTATTTGCCAGCTCTGGCTACTAGAGGGAGCCAGAGACCATGTTACCCTGTTCCCCCGAAAATAAGACCTAACCTGAAAATCAGCCCTAGTATGATTTTTCAGGATGCTCTTAATATAAGCCCTACCCCAAAAATAAGCCCTAGATAAGTGAAACCCCGCCCTCCACCATTGTTCAGCAACCAGAAAGATGTCACGCTTGTATTTGAATCAATGTATATTATTGTACATGAAAAAATAAAACATCCCCTGAAAATAAGCCCTAATGCATTTTTGGACCAAAAATTAATATAGTACCCTGTCTTATTTTCGGGTCAACATGGTATGTATAGCATTTGCTATTTCTGAGTTTTTTGGCATCAGTGGGGATGGGGAGCTCGGAACTGTTCCTCTATGGATACTCTGGTCCTATTAACAGTTGTTCCCAGCATTAGAAGTAACAGTGGCAACAATTAGATCCAGGGCCTTCTTCATAGTGTTCCTATGGAACTCCCATTCTGTACTGTTACAACTGAGCTCATAGCAAAGAGAGCAGGGACATGTGTGACTTAACACAGAACAGATAACCTAGTTCTAATTATATTTCCTGCTGTGTTTCACCTTTATCTGTTTATGTTAGTGATAGTTTAAATTGTAATATGCAGTATTTTAATGAATGTCTTGTCTGGGGATAGAAAACTATTTTTGTTGCTACTGTTGCTTCAGTTGTTATATGTCCTGTCTTTGATTAATCAAAGATGGATGGCTGTTCTTAATTCAGTTTTGGATTTCCTCTGTTTTTCCTTTGCAGGAATCAGAGAACGGCACCTCTCCCATGTGACGGACAGCCAAAAGAAATGTCTCAGGCTCCAGTGCTTATCTCCTGTGCTGACCAGTGAAGCTCTACCCTATTGTAAAACATTGTGCTTTACCTAATATCCTAGCCTTGTCTTTACCAGTGGATGCTAGTGTGATGGAGGAACCCATAGACTGAAAATGAGTGATTTGTGTTCAGTGTGACACAGATTTCACTTATAACTTGGGCCTGGGCTCCTCTGGTTTGGGACCCAGAATCTACTATAAGGATTATATTATTTCTCTGTTAAGGAACAGAAATGAAAAGATCCTAGAGTATTGCTTTCTATTGAAGGGTTTTAAAGTGGTAATCACATAGTTAAACAGAGGAGGCAGATGTTACTGTAGTTCATATAGCATCTATTCTATCAACCAGAGTTGAAAAGTAGTTTCATGTGAATAACTAGCTACTCTAAACAAAAATACAAAGGGGGGGGGGAGAGAAACTGACACACTGCACTAGTTACTAGATATTCGTAGTCCTTTTTGTACATGAAGGTTTAAGTTTTGAGATGGTTTATATAATAGGTTATGCTTACATTTATACTTCAGAGTGAATTTAAGAACCAGTTTGAAGACTCCAAGAAGGCATGGGCAGGTGTACCATTGTTAGTGGTGTATGTGTGGCCCTGTGGCCCAGAAGTTCTGCACTTTTTGTATTTGCCACCAGGGTGGTAGAGTTTATTGGCAAAAAATGCTGACAGGCTTTGTCTTGCTTGGTTTTTTTTTTTTTAATTAAGCATAGAATAATGAGGATGATTTGCATTTGAAGTATAGGTCTGGCATATTGCTAAGAACAATATTGCAGATCACTGGTTTGTCTTTCAAGTCTTGGAGAATTCACTTATTTTTAAATAGAAGTCTAAGCAGACTATGTGGAAACTAAAGCAGTAAAACAGGGAAGAGGGGAGTACTATAAATATGTTGTTCAGAAGTGACCTTAGTATTACTTCATTCATTTGGGAAAACAAACTTTTTCAATTGACATGCATACTGATGTATATATTTTACATTTTACAGACACTGGAATTGTCATAAGTACTATGCACAGTCTAAATTGGCATCATCAGTTGTATGAAGTGCCAATTCTAGTTTGGAATAGTGGATGCTGAGTGTTGTATAAATTAAGTGATGACTGAGAAACGATGTTACAGAATTTAGCCTGTCAAACAGACAGTTTTCCAACTCGTGTTCTCTGTCTTTCTTCTATGTTGTCTTTTAATCCCATGCCAACATCTCATGCCAGAACAGAGTCTCCTACCCTTTTTCTTTATATTTTTCTTTATATATCTTAACCACCTAACTCACACCAGTGGCCTATCATCCAACACAATACAGAAAAAGCAATTTGGGCTACATGTACTCTAAGCCCTTCTCACCAAGTTACAGTCCCATTAACCTGCTGTTGATAGTAATTCACCAGTTCACACATTTTTAACTTCTTGGAAGGCCCCCAAACACTCATACCCATCTATTGGATCAGGGGAGGAGAGATGTGTACACAGCACACAAAGAAAAGCCTGCTTCTGCGCCCAAGGAGCCTCAGGCTGGATTGGGGCAGCATTGTACCTAACAGCAAAAGATGAATGTCTACTAGCATTTGACATGAAGCTACTTTTAACACAGGGTACTTCTTCCACAGCACAAGATGTTTCCCTACATATTTTGCATCATAGCACAATGTCTTAACCAAATGCTATTGACCAGACCCCAGCAATAATTTTCTATGAGTCATCTTGTCTCTGGTGGAATTTTGTGATAGTGTTCAGTTCAGCGAGACCCTTTTTTATGGATTAGGTCTCTATATGATGAGAGTTTACACAATTTTATCAGGCTTTCTTAATTTATACTTGACAGAATTGATAAAAGATGTGTGTTTTGGGTTTTATTTTTTTTTCTTTTTGTAATTGGATTTAATAGCCATATGAAAAGTGACTCTTAAAACTTGCCTGGCTTAGCCTTTAATTGTTGTAATCAATGCATGTCCTTCAGTGTCTGTGTCAGAAACAACCTCAGACAGATTACAGTACACCCATTGTAATAATAGGTTATACAGTAATTAAAAGTATCACTTCAGCCCATATAGAAGTCAAAGACTTGCTCACAGATACAAATGATGATAAAGAAAGAAAAAAGACATAAACAGGAATGAGAATGTTAAATAATTTTAGAAAATTCAGTTAGAAGAATATTCCATAGGCCTCTGAGGCATGTGGCACAACTTTAATAATTGGCTTTTGTTAATTTTTTCTGAATTATTTAACAAAACAAAATGTTGCCAACATGCCATACTGTTGGGTGCATATTGTAGTGGCTTCAGGAGTGAAAGCCCAAATACTAGCTATGGTTCAAACATTGTAAGTAGCTGAAATCCAAATATCTCATGGTGCAACCTCTTCATCCTGACAGTGGTACTAGCATGTAAACTCTATGGAACCCATTAGAATAAGTGCATTTTTAATGAAGTACCACGACCTGTCTGCAGTTTTAAATTTAACTATTGTTCCTAAAATATTTCTTTATATGAATGGTACCTTTATAAAAGATGCATAAAGTTAGCTTTTTTCTATGTGAATTAATATCTTGATTACCCTTTCCTAAACCTCATTAACTGTCCCTTAGGTAAGGGACTAAATTTGGGTCAGTTTTCTGAATATGAGTGTTTTCTGATGCTTATAAACCTTTCTGTAGATATGCTTAATTTTTAAGCGATTAGGGACTGAGAGTAGCAGAAATCCTGCAAAGTTTTATAGTTTATTAGGAGCACAGTTCACTTGGAAGGTCTTCTGCACATGCTCCATTGGAATGTGCATTACTGTAGGTTTGCATAGCTCCTGTTCATTTCAGTGGGCTTCCTTCAAGATAACCTCCCAATGGTTTGTGCCCTATGGTGTGTTCCTCCCCCCACCTTCTTTTTCTGAATGATGTCTTGAATTCAATAGAGATATTTGTTAGAATGGTTATCCCTAATTTCAAGTAGAAAGAAAATCTGTTAGCATAAGAAAAATCAAACCAACAATGTACTGTTCAAATGTTTGTTTTTTATTTTAATTTCCAGTATTTTGTGTTTTTCAAAAAAATGAATTTCTGTGCATTTTCATATACCAGCAATGTCACCCATCAATTAATGTCCATGAATTCATATAGAGAATTGTTGCACCTTACTTATTTCAGATGAACCAAAATATTGTGTTTTCTGCTTTGGTTGTTTATTCCAGTACTGTTGTATTATAGTTTATCAAACCCATTCTGAATTAGCAAAAGCTATCAGTATTTATGCATTTAACAATATTCTATAGATTTGAACCTGTGTATGTCTTTTATATATTTTTTAAACAAGATAAACACATTATGCTTACCTTCCTCTATGGTTTCTTAATGAAAGTAAGGATAGATTTTTCATTGTCCAATTTTCTTGGTTTTTCCAATTTATTTATTTAGTGACTTTTGATATTTCATATAGTTTTGAGGTATACATGCAGTAGTTGCTACTGCAAGCATAGAATCAGATGGGAGGACACTGTAATGCCATTTTCACGTAATTGTGTTAGTACTGTATTAGAGGATGGAGTGGGAGTGGAGTTCTGCAGAGTATTTAACCTGTACATTTGATTTTGACTTTTCTGTTAGGGTGTTTTCCAAATACAAGACCAAAACTGATGTAAAATCTTATGGAGCTTATATCATGCTGTTGTAATTAAGACAGTATTTTTCCCTCGATTGTACTTTGATTTCAGAAATAAGGATATATTTATTTAAGAAAATATGGTGTGCTTTTTTACTAATACAATATCCCAAAGTTACGAGCAAAGGATTTGGTTCTTTGACTCACTCTCCAGCTTACAGTCCAATCCCCAACTTTCAGAATTGACTTTAAATTATATAAAGCATAGTAAGAGATACTGGTCTCCGAGTTGTATCTTTTATTTGGCAAAGAATTTTGCTGCTTTCCTCAGTACCATAAGTAGCATAAATGTAGCTGCTAATTACTCCACAGTTGCTGGCTTTCTGTTCCCTTTCAAACCCATAAGAGTTGTATGTTGGGCAGCATAACATGGGGTAGGTAATGTCTATCCCTAAGAATCAAATTAGTCATTAACAAATACACCCACATACACAATATTGCATCTCTAGAGAGCCTCCCTGTAGAGATCTGCAAAAGAAGTGGTTGGTAGAGTGTTCCCTTCTACCCACAGTAGGAAGAATTAAAAGAGAGCGTGCATTGCTGGGGAACATGGAGAAATCGGTAATTCCACAAATAAAGCAAATTTACTGCATTTGCAGGTGTTTGGGAAAAGGACAGAAAGGCTCATATTAACCCAGCTGCTAGGAACACAGGCAGTCCACGTGTACATTTAACATGGATGTTCTCTGTGTGGAACCTTATACCAGATTCAGCAGTACTGTATGGTGAGAATATAAAAGGGTGTGACTGTCCTACAGTCATTAAGTATGCAGTGGATTTCCCATTGGCTGCATTTGGAACAGGCTGTAAAATGTAGTTATTTTCCAAATAATGGCTGCAGCTGCCATTGCACTTTGGGCCTTTACAGATAACTAATCATCACTGAATTTACAGTGGTAGTTTTCAGTAATTATGGAAAGCTAGGTGGAATATCATGGTTGAGTCTGCCTTTAGTATGAAGCTTTAAAATGGAACATCTTTTCATTCATTTGAGTACAAGTAAAGTTTCCATACTGAAGAGAACAGCTAGGAAATTGGGGTGATCAAAGAGAAGAGGGCATTACTGTTGTATGATTTCAGTATGGTGAAAGGGAATATATATAAATATATATATATATATATAAATATTTTTTTAAAATCTGTGATGGAAAGAAAGTGTGGTAGAGACTATAATGATTAATGGGTTTACCTTGTACTTTTGTGTATTTATGCGTGTCAGCTGCTCTTTGTTCTTCAACTAATTCTAATAATGCTACCTCTATTAAACGTTACTGCAGATAACTTCGATTTGTTTTCAAGATTCCTCATGTAGTCTATGGGTATGTAGTTTGGACCACACTCCATTCTGTTTTTTTAAGAGGCAGTTTTATAGACAAAAATGTCAAAGCTGCTATCCACAGTATTCATATTTCTACCTGATGAATGTTACATTTGTGAGGCATAATACGTTTTATTTATATATGTCATTTGTTCCTTTAAAAAGGTGACACTCCCATGTACACACACATATATACAGATACATATTCATGTAAAGGTACTTTCATTTATCTTCTCAAAGATACTGAGGGGGCACCCTACATGTGAATTACATGTACCCACCTAGATCATCTTTAATACTCTGAACTTCTCTACTGTTTATAAGAGCATTTTTAGAAGAAGTAATTGCTATCTGCTTCCTTTATTGTTGTGGGCTATAGTTGCCATATAAATGATGCAAAAAGTATGCTTTACCCTAAAATGCTTTTTACAGAGAGGATAGTAATTTGTACAGCTCTTAAACAGTATCATACATTTGAAGTTCCCCCTTTTGTCAAAAACATAGTCTGCAAATATCTTAGGACACTTCATTAAGAAAACTGCTGAAAGCCAAGACAAAGAGCTTTTGTACATCTCATTTATTCTCACATTTTAAATATGCTTGAACATCTTTGCCTGTAGAATATCCACAAAACATCCGATTTCCTTCCCCAAATACTTTGCTCCTGGATCTGACAACAGTCCAGATAGTAATCCTTTGATTTAGTTATGCAAGTGATGAATTGTAAAGTATTCTCCAGTTTTATAGATTATGCCATTCTGATTAAGGATGAATAACAGGCTCATTTCACACTGGACTGTCCAACATACATGGGCTAATAGTCTTTACTATGATACTGTTCTTTCAAAGAGTATCTTTGTTTTGTTTTAATATTAGGTAACATATGGGGAGGGAACTTATCTATAATATATATTACTATAAAGAGGGGACTTATCTATAAAATTATAGTTTGAGAAGTAAGATCTATCTCTGAATACCATGTTTTCTAAATAAAATTTCACCAGGCTTTTTAAACATGGAAAGCTTCGAGTTTTCACTATTTCCAAACTATTTTTAATCTTGCTTTCTCCCATTAATTAAGGAGTCAGTAAACCATTTTCCTTTATATGTCAAAACAACATAAAATGTTTTGAAGAATATGCATACATCATATATTTCCACTTACTCTCTTTTTCCACGTATACTGAAGCCCAGTTCAGGCATAATTTAAATGTGTGGAGCCCACATGCATTGATGGAAAGATCCTAGCCCCAACTCCTTCTGCCATTGTTTTCATCACAGGAAAGTGACAGTATGAAAAATGAGAGGCTAGCCTGTTCCTGGGTTCTAGCTCACATGAGACACGATCAGCCTGGAATTTGCTTGCACACATCTCCCTTGAAATGAACACTGTTGTGTATTTGCACAACACTTAGCTTGTTCATTTGGATGTGTGCAAAGGAAGCAAAGGAGTTGCGTACTGATGTTCTGTTCATATCTGCAATTAGAGAGGCTCTTTGCTCATTAGGTTTATCATCTTGGCAGTTGTTGCCATATACCTAAAGGTTTCTTCGTGATTGACCTCGTCTCTCTTATTTTCTGTCTTGCAAGCAGTTGCTCTAGATTCTGACCAGAATTGGGAATAATTTTCCATAAAGCTTTGGTGTAAAAGCTGTTCTTCGTGGTCTCTGTGAATGCACGCTAATGGGTTTAATCTGCACTTGCGCAGAGATCTCCAGAATATTCTAGAGCTCAAACACGCGTTCACTAGGACCGCCCCCCATGTGGTCCGCCCATCATGGTGATGACCTCAGTTCCTTTTTGCCGCCGCTGAGGTCTCATCTTCTGAGCTCTCCGTTTGCACATATTGGTTCTTTTTCCTGAGGAAGCATAATACATCACGTCGTTCTTATTTAGAAATAGACTGTTCTATAATACTATTTTCATTACTCCTTTGTGATTTTCAGTCATTTAACCACTTTTTTCCCTAATCCGCCACCCCTTTACTCTCTCACATCTTTCACCTTACGTGCTGCCAACTATTTAGCTGCAATGGGAGCCTACCACAGGTTTCTCTGGAACAAGGCCCTTCCGTCCCTACAGTTGGCCTCTGGAGAGTACAAACCTCGGGGTCTCGCCTTTTGCCAAGAGGAGAGTACAAACCTCGGGGTCTCGCCTTTCATGGCATTGACACGACAAGAGTGCATCACAGATGACATATAGGCAGCTTCTAAACACATGGCCATAGCTATAGCCTTATGTAGACATGCCTGGCTACGTTCTGCGAGCATCTCAGAGGACTCTAGGATGCGAATTGAGGACTTACCTTTTGACGGTGCTGGTCTGTTTGATGAGAAAACAGATGAGATTCTGGACAACCTAAAAAGATGAGACAAGCAGCATGCTCCTACAATACTCAGCCGTATTACAGGCCTCAAAGGTATCAGTGGCGTCGTCCGTATCCCTTCCACCAGTACAAGTCTTTCCCAAAAAAAGCAATGTTACTTACCTCAATCATCTTCCATGTTCCAACCTTGTCAGCATACTCAGAGACAGTGCTCTCGCCAATCCTTCAGGCGCCTTGACAAAAAGAGCAAGCAGCAGAACCTTTGACTCCCCTACCATTTGGATCCGTACTCTATCCCCTCCCCTCACCACCTGCCTCACACCCCATTTTCAATCTTGGGTGTACATAACCACAGATTCGTGGGTCCTGACAATCATATCTGTCAGGTATGTGATAGAATTTGTTTCTGTATCACCACCACAGATCGTCATAACTTCACCATCCACCACTCTCAAATTAGAGATTCAATTACTCCTCTCAAAGGAGGCTATTTCACTCATCACTCCAAGTGCTTCCAACCCGGGGTTCTCCTCCCATTATTTCCTAGTTCCAAAACGAGACAACAGTCTACGTCCCATTCTCGACCTCTGCGACCTCAATTACTTCATTATTCAAAGGCACTTTCGCATGGTGACTCTAGAACGCCTCCTTCCTCTTCTGCAAGAGAAACAGGTTCTCTGTCATTGACCTGAGCAACACCTATTTTCATATCGCCATCAGACAGGACCACCGCAAATTTCTTAGCTTCTCTCTTGGTCAAACCACCTATGAATTCAACACCCTATTGTTCGGCCTCTCCACAAGTATTTATGAAATGCATGACCCTCTTAGCAGCACACCTTCGCACCCTAGGAATTTTGGTGTTTCCGTACATTGATGACTGGTTACTTGTGGCTCAGTCATGTGCGCAAGCTCTCAAGAACATTGCTGTAACTCTTTCTTTAGTGGCAGATCTGGGCCTCAAGGTCAGCGTCAACAAGTCAGTACTAACTCCCTCTCAAAGAGTCACTTACATAGGCACAGTTCTAGACTCACATCACGTGATGGCTTTTCTCCTTCAAGAATGTGCAATCAAGATATGTACTCTTGTCAGCCACTTGCAGCCTCACGTGCTGGTCATTGCTCATCAGGTACAATGCCTCCTCAGCCTCATGGCCTCTAACACATCCATTATTCAGCATGCCTGACTGAAAATGTGCTCATTACAATTATGCCTATCCCTATTTGACCCACTTCTCGACCCACCCACTATGCAAGTCACTCCCAGGCTTGCATCTCAGCTGGTTTGGTGGATCACCCCGGCCAATCTTTTCCTTTGGCAACCGTTTGCACCTCTCCAGTTGGCAATTCAAATTACAACTGACACCAGCCCCTTCGGTTAGGGTGCACATTGCAAGGACCTTCATGTTTATGCCACCTGGTTCCCTTACGAAAAAACTCTCCACATTAACAAACAGGAAAGTACACTCTACCCCTCCTCTGTCTTGCTGTCCAGTTTTGAGAGTGGTGTATGGATCACCACATTTTTCCTATAGCGGTCCGATTGCCACACAATACGACCAATTAGCAGACACTCTCAGCAGGCTGAATTCTCAAATGCACGAGTGGTCCCTCGATGACACCATTTTTCTCCAACTTTGCAACAAGTGGAGTCATCCCAATATAGATGTTTTCGCCACAGCAATCAGTGCCAAATGCACCCAGTACTTTTTCAGAGTGGGCATCGGCCGAGGGTCTCTAGGCGATGCTCTCATGGCGAGTTGGACCATGCGCTTCCTTCACCTCTTCCCACTGATACCACTTCTGTGGACTATTGTCAAATTGAGACAGGACTGCTCAAATACCATTCTGATCACTCCCTGGTGGCTGAGGCAACCTTGGTTCACAGTGCTCATATCAATGGCCTCTTAATCCTTCCGTCTACCTTGCCTTCCTCACTTGCTCACCCAGCATCACGGGCAAACTTACCATCCCAACCTCCAATCCCTCCACCTAACAGCTTGGATGATTCACCCTCCCTAAACACCATCCTCACCCATGCAAGGAAGCCAACAACAAATCAACTTTATGCTGACATACATACATACATAAACCTTTATTGGCATTTGAACTTTATGCTTACAAATGGTCTGCTTTCCAGAAGTTTGCTCATCAGAATGATCTCCCAAAGGCTCCGACTGCCCTCCGAGCAGTGTTGGCCTTCCTTACATTTCTGACTGCAATCTCTCATTATCTACAATCAAGGTCTACATGTCCGCTATTTTGGCTTACCAACCACAGGACTCAGATGCTGCCTTGTTATTCAGGCATCCCACAGGGTGTGGCTAATCTCCATCCATCCAGGCCCTCTCCGATGCCACAGTGGTCGTTACATACTGTCCTCCGGTGCTTGTCACTGCTGCCCTTTGAATCTCTTGCGACTTCCTCTGAGCGTTTGCTCTCTTTTAAAGTGTTGTTTCTCGTAGCCATCACATCCGCCCGTAGGGCATCGAAGATGACATGACTGCATTTGAATAAATGTAGATTGTTGTACATGAAAAAAAAAAACATCCCCTGAAAACAAGCCCTAAAGCGTTGTTGTTTTTTTTGAACAAAAATTAATATAAAACCCTGTCTTATTTTTGGGGAAACACAATAGATA